CAATGACAGTGGCACATGCAGTTGTAGTGGAAGCCGCTTGTCGGTCGACAGTCCGCCAACCGCCAACGTTGTTGCCCTCTCTTTCTCTGCCTCTCGCCCCGTCTCTTTCTCTTTGCGGAGCAGGTTTTGAGATATATCTCGGGTCTTCTCTCCCTCTCTATCTGCGTACTCGTTATTTTTGTACTCGCTGCCTTTTTGGCCAACGCAAAAATACCAAAATAAAGAAAAACAAAAATAATTAGCTAGCCCTACGCCAAAAACGAAAAAAAAAACTCGAAAAGAAAAACACAAAAGTAAAAATAAGTGCTGAGGAATTTCTGCGTTCTTCTTAGTGGACAGGGCCTGTTCTTGGCGGAATCTTACCTGTGGGTTAAACAGAAGAAAGCCCGAGGCTCTTTGGGCTTTATCTTTGCAGGCCTCAAGTATCCAAGAAGTATTTTTGAACAAGTTTCTGATGGCTTTTTGTTAGTTTTTAAGCACTGAGATGCTTGGCATTGTTCTTTATGTATTTTATCTTTATTTTTTAAGTAGCACTTGAATTGTATTCTCCTTTTTCTGCTGTTAAGTTTCTGTGAATTAAACGAATCAAACTTTATAGATATCCTTCCCGTTTTTTTGTAAGTTTGATTTTTAATTATAAAAATATATTTCCCAGCGTTACGCGATCGCACTACTAAGTAAATGTATTTCAAAACACGCACACAGTGGGACAATTTTAAGATTCAAATCACGGCACGATCGCCCTGGGGGTGGGCCAGAGGGGGCGGCAGGGGGGCGGTTACGGGAGCAGCAGCAGCATCAACGGCAGTCAGCTACCACAAACCACGTAGTTTTTTTCTCTGCCCAAAATCCACGTACAACTCGCGCACAAACACACTGTGTGTCGCGTATCTCACAGATACAACACCGAAGGAAAAAACCCGAACCGAAACCTCAGCCTCAGCGAACTGAAAAACCGAGCGAGAACGAGAGATACACGGCAGCTGAAATGTGTTTTTCTACATTTTGTTTGAAATAGGAGCTGAAGCCAGTGCAGCTACCAGTTCGCTCCTCAAGTAGTCCCAAACTCTTCCCACACACAGAGTCAGTTGCAGTTGAAAAGCGCTTTTCTCGAGGCAACTGGCGATGCAACAAGTTCACTCACTTGCGCACACACACACACATACAGGGCCCGCTCAATAAGCGAAAGATACAGATAGATAGAGCGAGAGGCACTCACAATGCAGTTCACTTTTCCTACAGATATAACCAGCGATCCGCGCGCAGGTGCGTTAGCCACGATCAACTCTCGAAGACTGAGCCACGGAGAACTGGGCTCGGATGGAACCAGAGAGAGAGAGCCAAGAGATACGGAGAAAGAGAGAGGTAGACATCCGACGAGTAGCGAGCGGGAGCAGGAAAACCAGCTTAGTACACAGGGAGAAATGTTGGATAGTAAATACTTCCCACTGATATCATACGATTTTGAAAGTATCCAAGAGCTTAGATAAAGATGTTATGATAAGAAGTAAACGCTCAAGTTAGGAGTGGCCTTAAAGCTCCCTCAAAAATCACTCTCAAGCCTGCATTTGTTAGTTTTACAATAGGAATATATTTCCTATTATCATATTCCCTAGCTTATAGTGCGTTTCTCTCAGTGCAGGAGAGGAATTGAACCGAACTCAACCGCCAGCCGACCGACCGCCAGTCGCACGCTGCTAAACGGACGGCCGGACCTGGGGACGGACTTATACAGAGACTGGCACTGGCGGAGCGTGGAACGTGCATTCGTACGACGAGTTATTGTCAGTTAGAGCGCTACCTGTTTACCGTCCGACTACCGACTACCACCGACTGCTTTTTTGGGCCCGGTCGAGAGGGTAGGGTGAAAAGTGGTCGGGTGTTGCCAGATTGCCGTTGCTGGCCATGGATCTTTATGGCGATTTCCCCCGGAGAAGGTGGAGGGTGTAACTCTGGTAGTCCCCTGTTTATTGTTATTCTTTTTTTCAGTGGGGTGCATTTTGTTCTTCGGGTTTTGTTGCGGTTTCGTTTAGGGGAATGACTAATCATAAAGCATTTTCAGGGGGGAGGACTATAGGGCTTCTTCGAAGAAAGGGTTGCTAAGCGGCGATTATGTGGAAGGTTAGGGAGGAATAAAGTACATTACTCATATCGCCTTATCAATGGTTCTATAGTGAATCGATTATTCCACTGATAAGTGGCTTGAAAGGCTTGCTAATGAATACATTAAACAGGCATATATTCCGATTTGCGTTTTAACAATGACAAATTGGAAAATGTACAAAATTTCGGCAGCCAAGTCATAATTTTCGTTTATGAAAAATGATCGTAAAAGTAATATGGTTCCTCAGACCATGTTATCGCCAGACTGACTTTTATTAAGGTTAATTGGTATTTATGACAGGAGTAAGGGAAGTGAGTTCACCAAATATAGGATATTGAAGATGAGGGTTTGAAAAGTGATTCAAGAAAATAAAAATTGCATTATTGAGACGGTTTTTTAAATACATTTTAACGCTTTAGTAAGTTTAAGGTTCCCTATTATATGTATATTTTATCATTAGCTAACTTATAACTATCTAATTCAAATAAGGCTGAAACCTTATCAGTTAAGGAATTCCAGGCCTACCAATCTGGCAACCTCTTCTACCAATCCAGCATCAATGCGGTCAAGTGGTAGAAGGAAAGAAGGAAACGAAAAGCAAAGACCAAGAAATCAGTGAGGGTCCGAAAGTAGGGGGAGTTACGTTTTAGCTACAATGATGATCATGTTCGTAATGATCCCGAGATGCCGAAAAAGAAAACCCGAAAAGTACCCAACAAAAGAGAGCCGGAGCCATGTAATTAAGGTGCTGCACAGTGGAACTAAATTGTGGCTGTTGCCACTGCGAAAACAGTAAATGGAGATACCAAGCGGCAGCCAGAAGACCAGAAATAAGTGGTAGAAACGAGGAGAGGCAAAAACGGTAGCTGCCTCATAGGGCGAGCGAATTGTTATGCTAGTCGTCAACTTCCCCCATCAACAACTGTTGCTCTGTGGCTGCACTCAGAAAATAGTCTTGCCTCATGGGCGCCGCTTGAAAATCAACCTATTAAATGTTGGATATAAGAAATATGGAAACGTTAAGGGAAATCAGAAGGAAAAGAAGGGGTTTTTATGCTGTTTATAATAACATTCATTTGGAATGTCGCATTAGAGAAGCTAAAATTGATATTTATGATAAAAAATTTTAAAAATACTTTGGAAGTCACTTGTTCTTTATTATATGCTAATATATAGTATAAAAAAATTCCCACTTCAAACTGTGAAAGCAGTTTTACTGGAAATTGAAATAGAAACTCAACGAAGTATAACATTCCATATTCCGGCCACTTTTGGCTTTGTTATGACAATAATACAAATTTTTGGGAGTACATTTTCTTTCAGTGCGCAAAGGTGGTCGTTTCCCTCCTTGCATATTTTGCATCGCTTTACGATTTTAAAATAAATTACTCGAAATTTGTGTAAAACATGTGGCCAGCTCGGAGTTCAGCCGGTAGTTTGGGGCTAGAGGGCCAGAAGCAACAGGTTCATTGATCGCATTTGAAATGCTTCGTTGGCCTCAGCAGGTAGCCTGGGCCGGGCCTGAATCGAATCGAATCCGATCGGATCGTTGAGCCAAATTGATGATGTTTAGATGCATTTCAATGCCCCCGGGCTGTCAGCAAGAGAGACGTTTGTGATTTGTTCTCGGTATATCCTTTATTTAATAATTAAAGCTCTTATTTAGTTTTTCTTTTGTCTGTTGTGTCTGCCGTCTGGTTTTCCACTCGATGAGTTACAACTTAAGATGGCTGCCTCTTATCATATCATATAATCGTCGTAATGCATACATTTATTATCTAAGTTTTTGCGGCTCGCCGAATTGGAAATCTCTATTTAAAATATATAAAATATATATGTGTGTATATATACTCGCTACCGTCTTGATAAAACCAAAAAGAAGCTTCAAAATTGTTGCATCCTCACTCAATCGCGGTATTTAAACGCTGACCCAAAAAAACCTGAAATCAGCATTTTAAAGATCATATCTTTATATGACAAAGTAACTACTGGATCCGAATTAATCGCTATTATATTATTGTTTGACCTACAATGACCTTGATGTGTGCGTTTGTGTGTGTGTGAGTGTGTTTCCTAAAAAAATCCAACCTATCAAAAAAGCTAACTAATGGCGGCTTACATCGTAATCGCGTCTAACTAATAATCGATTCCAATAAGGACGAAAACCGTTGTTAATTATCCACAAAATGTTGTGTTCATTCTCGATGGAAGCAGCTATGGAAAATGAAAAACTTCTGCGGCCCTTGATAATGACTTTTCCGACTGTTACACTCTGATAATTCCGAATTTTGGTCTCGCTTGAGTTGTTCTTTGTTCTATGATACCCTTTCTGTAAATAGACATTTATCTAAAAAACGTTTGCCTTGCCTGGATTTGAGCCCTTGAATACCTAATCATTCCAATTTGGATTTGGATCTGGATCTAACCTAGCCGAATTCTATATACATTAGCCAATCAACTTGGTCTGCTGTACGATCGTTTCTCCCGCTGGTTTTGTGGCTAATATATTCTATGTATATAAGTGACAAGACAACCTCACTAAACATAAGTTTTGTATATATATATATATGCAATTTGTTGTAAGCTATATAACAAGAATACACACCAAAAATGTCCTATCGTATTCCTCTATATGTGTATATATCTGTGTTCAAAATAGTTTTAAACCCGATTTGAATGACCGACTAAATTCCTTGGACTAAGCAATCGCCTATGCCTAAAACTAATTGGTTTGCTTGGCTTAAGATCTAAGTGTTGTTGTTGTTGTTGTTGGTAGTACCCGTACTAGTGTCGAACGAATCAAATCAAAATCAAAGTCCTAATCCATCAAGTAGCTGAAACTGCGACGCTTGAGCCGGCTGCTCAGAGCCGACCTGGAGCGTGTCTTTAACCTTAGTTACCCGGACTTAATCCAGCGGTCAATGGAGTATTCCAGTGCGGATATCCAGCTGGAAGGGTAAGTTTAAATAAGTAAGATATTAATGTATCTCTAAGATACTTACCGCTTCTTATCCATCTCGCTTTCGGTGCAGAAGAAGTAGTGACGCAACTTGGTCTCTGGTGGTATGATCTCGAACGAGTTCTTCTTGCCGGATGCATTCGCGGACATCGAGGCCACTTTGTAGCCGTGCAGGCAGGCCATGCCTAAGTAGAGAAATGTAATTAATTGCTGGCCAGTCAGTCAATCTGTCCGAGAACTAGTCGAGTTGACTCACCGAATGCACTCTTGCTATTTGCATCTTGGTAAAAATAGAGGCAGGCATCCTTAAGAACGCAATAGCGTTTCGACCATCCGCACCACCTTGAGCCCAATTTGAGTAGGTAGCCGAAGCAGTCGGGCCTCTGAATGTTGGTGGGGCTCTGGTACAGGCACCGCGCGCTGTGAGGGAAATGATGTGAGAGAATGGATCAGTAAATCGGATCAGCGATCTCCGAGATCAGTGTCCCCCAACCTTTTGTCCAGCCACTGGTTGTCCTGCGAGGCAGCTTGTCGTAGCAGCTGGAGCCACCTGTTGGCCAACTCATCGGAGTCGGCAGCCACGTACATGGGAATGCCCTCTCCAGCGTCCACTTTGAAGGCGAAGGGCTTGCCCACATCCACAGGACACAGGTCCACCGTGTGCTTGGCCATTATCATGGCTCCAACGGGCTGCGAGTCCTGCAAGATTAGCAAATTGTTAATTATTAATATTTTATATCTTTGTCATTCCTAGGCACCACGTCTCTTAACTCATACTCACATCTTCAGTTTTGTAGTAGTAGAGACAATTATCGGGCCTCAGGGAGAACCAGCGTCGCACCCATTTCTTGGAATTCGGAGCTCCCTTGGCCTGCCCGCTCTGCCGCCACAAGTATCCACTGAAGATAGGGTTGGCTTGGTGGCTCCAGTTGCTCGTGCATTAGAACTCCAATGGTCCTGGCCACCTGTAGCTCCAGCTTTTCGCAGCCATCGTGCGCGATCTTGACCACCTCGGTGTGGTGTTTGTCCAGAACCTGGACTCCGTTCACGGAGATTATAATGTCGCCCACCTCCAGGCCAGAGCTCTCTGCTGGAGTCTCCGGTTCGATGGCAGCCACTACCACGGGCTTGGATCCATGGATGCGGAAGCCAAATTCACCGGAGTCGCTCTTGACCACCACGGTTTTATCCACGCCTGAGAGAGGAAAGTAGTTTTATACTTATTAAGTTTCCACATTTAATATTTTCCTAGAATTTCCAAAGGTTGCTTATCATTTCATGACTACAAAGTCCTCCCCATGGCCATTAATGTTTTCATAATATGTTCTCATGGTGGATTATTTATAGAGACCGAGAGAGAGGGGGACTTAAGTGATTTGTGTTATTTTATTTCCGGATTTCGTCCGGACATCGTTTACCATGTGCCCCGCCGCTGAGTTTGGATATCACAAAGCTTTCGCGTGCCCAGACCAGGAGCATCAGCTTCAGCACCTCCTCCAACTTGCGCCTCACTGAGTCCGGCGTGGAATTGGAGGCAATTAGTTCTGTGTGGTAATAAGCAAGACAAATTACAAAATAAAACAGAACACAGAAATCCCTGGCTAACGGCAACGTTTGATTTTCTTTGTTTACCCACCAATCATTTGGCCCGAGTATCGTGTAAATACCACAAAAATATTCCTAAAACTTTTCGCACTTATTTCTTTACATTTGGCTGCGACCGAAGTACCGAACGGGAAGCGTTGCGGATTTTTTATGGTCGGCACACAACAAAGCACGCACCTCAACTATTCTCGATAATAGAGCCAAAAAACTGTGGGTTGTTCTTTTTTTCGGCTCCGTCTGGCGGTTCCTACACACATATCTATGTATGCCAAGTGCCGGTCATGAAAATCCGGAGCGCCATGTCATTCATTATCTCTGAAGTTCTCCCACTTGGCTAGGGCTTTTCTCTCAATCTCTCTCCCGCTCTCTCTCTCTCTCGAGATTTCCCACCAAAAAGGCGCGCACGTTGTGCCAAAATTAGAATATTGTTTGGGTGTTCGTACAGGGTGCTCCGAGTGGGTGTTTTGGGACTTACGGAAGCTGTTGTGTTTCTGGCGATGGTACATTTCCAGGGTGCAGCGCCGCTGGACGAGGCGATGCAGGATCACTTGGTATTTGGCGTGGAAGCCCTTCTCGGACTCCGTCGAAGCTCGACGTTCCCTGGAGCGATCTATAGGGGATATGAAAAGGGTATCAATCATGTAATACAACCAGAAGGTGCTGATCTAATGCGGATGTAATCCTTTAATCCATTTTATTTGAAATTAAACATATTTCAGTTTTTCGCACTATCAGAATGCTCACAGAATGCCTCGCAAAGGGGTTTCGATGCGAACTTTCTTATTGAGTTAGAACAGGCATTGCTGATAGTGTGACATGTATTCAAAGTTGCATTGTACTGAAAGAATATGGGACTTGGTCTGCCGTTCAAGCTACATCTAGGCTTCTTCTTCTCTACGGTGCAAAAACCTAAAAATCATATTTTAAGCCTTGGATATTACGTAAGCTTAAGAAACTTACGATTCCTATTACCGATAACTTGCCCAAGCCATATAGTAAAGACTAATATTAAAAGATAGCTCTTCATCGTCGAGCTGGCGGATACTTAATATTTTCTTATGTAAAGCAAAGCTATAGTAACTTGAGTTTTGACATGACCAACTGTGGCGAATCTTATTTGATTTGGAAAATTACATTTTAATCTTTTTATAATAAACGAAGCGATGCCATGTAACAGGAAGTCCAACCCCCAAATATACATTTTGTGTGCTACTTCTTAGCTTGTCCTTAAACCTATCAAGTTCGTGTCACTTACCAAAGCACTGGTGGTCCAGCTGGGTCCACAAGTCATCATCGGTCAGTCGAGTATATCGTCCTGCATCATAATGTCCCTTATATATGATGTGCTGGCTCTGCTCAGTGTTGATATCCGGCAGGACACAAGGACTGGAGCCGGCAGGACGCAGCACAGGGGTATTGGGCAGGCTGGGTACGCGTCCGCGCTCCTCACTCTATCAAATTTAGATCATTATATCCTAGATTATATCTGATATTTCTAAGTTTCTTACCTTTGCTCTGATATTCTCCTGCCTGGTTTTGTAGTGCCTGCCCCTTTCGCCGTGATAGCGTTCCTCGGATCGGAATCGCTTGTCCATCTTCTTGTACAGCCGCTGAGTGGTCTTGGTGGTCACTGGTGAGTCAGCAAAGTCTGAGGGTGGCTTAACGATATCCTGTTCGATGAAGGGTATGGACTCCACCGAATCACCTGCGAGCTCGCTGATGGTGTTGCCTTGCTGCTTGCCCTCCATCTCTTTGCCGCAATGGTGACAGTGGCCACCGTGCTCGCCACTGGCCGCGTTGCCATCCGCTTCGCTGTAGAACACAGAATCCGAACCGGGTGATACAGACCGCAGGGACTCAATGGATTTGGCTTTGAGTTGAAACGTGTCCGATGTGGACTTCGACTGGGCACTGCTGGATTTGGGCAGTTTGGGCGAGAGCAGTGATGTGGGTGTGGCGCAACTGTGTGGCTTCTTCACGGTCAATGGAATAACTACAGCCTCCGGTAGAGTGGTCGCTGATGATTCCGATGTTGCTACCTTGGAAGCAGCTGATGCGGTTGTCATGGCAGTTGTGGTGGTGCATGTCCCTGTTACGGCACCAGTTGCCATGCTGGCATCTAGCAGCATCTCAGTGTCTCCACTGCCGCTGCTCAGACCGAATATAGTGGGCGTGGCACGACTTCTTCGTACCGCTGCCGCCGCAAGGACATCCTCCCGGGAGCTCTTCCTCAACTGTCTTCGTATCTTGGGACGGAAGCGCTTCATCTTGCTGGGACTGCTGCCATTGTCCAAGGGTCCAGAAGACTGCTGCTCTGGTGATGTGATTTTGCTAGAACTCGTAGGCTTCTTAATGGGACTGGTCAGGGCACGCATGTTCTCCTTCTCAATGTCCAGTTTCATGCTAGTCTTGCGCCTCTTCCGTTCGTCTTCCTGTCGTAGCCGACGAGCCTTGCTTCGATTCACCTGCTCCTCGTCATCCTCATCGTGAGGACTCTCGTAGTAGCCGGAGGAGGAGTAACGCACTTCGCTGCGTTCATCTTCCGATATGGAGTCGGGCTTGGGCTTAGCACCCGGAGGGACACTTTCTGCCGAGCTGACTTTCACTTGAGACGTTCCCGAACTGGCGACCGTTTGCGGCAAACTTTCCTTGGCAGGAGACTTGATGGCTGCTCCCGTGACAGGACAACTGCCCGAAGAGGTGGTGCTGCTGATGGAGTGCGAGGGCGATTTCTTGGTCAACTCGGCCACCGATCCAATGGGAGACTTCAGATGGGTCTTGGTAAGAGTGGCCTGCTTATCCTTTTCCTTCTCGTCGTGCTGCAGCAGGTCCTCCCTCATGGAGTACAGGGAACTGGCGCTCTCGAAGGAACTCCCGGCGTGCGTCTTCTCCAACTGCGAGCTCTGAGTGGAAACTGTCAAAGGAAAGAAGTGAACCTACTAGTTAATAAGGATCTTTGAGGAGGACCTAAAGGTACAGCTAAAGCATTGCGGGCAAGGCATTTGATCAGGCAACAACATTTAACTAGGGAAGAGAGAGACAGACAAAGTTGAAGTGTGGCAGATGAGTCTACGGTCTATAAGCTATAGGCTGTTTAACACTAGGGCGTGAGGCATGGAAGCGGTGAGAGTAATCGGTGGTTTGGTGGCAATGATGGTGGAGTGGTGGCCACGAGCACGATTCGATTTGGTTTTTATAACACTCATTCATGGATCAAGACTTGGGTAATGCGATTTGGTACGAGTTCTACACACAGACAGGAACACACACAGCACGAGTACGAGTACGGGTACGAGTACGTATCGGGAGGCCCAAACCTGGCACTTGTGTGGTCGACGATGAACTGGTCGTTGTCGGCGGTGTCTTAATACCTGGTGTACGTTTCGAGGTGTCCGTGCAGGTGGCATACTCATCTGTGTTCGTGCTGCACTCCGATATGTCCGCACTGCGGGCGAAATCTGTGGCGCCCATGGGCAGGAACGAGGCATCAGAGTGTCTGGGAAGGAGTAATACGTATTTTAAATATTGTTATCTAATTTATCATGGAAGATACATTATATTTCTTAGGGATCAGATTCGAATATTCTCATTTTCAGTTTTTAAAAATTATAAGAATTCATTGCATACTTTTAGGCATAAAACAATTTAAGTTGCCTTCATATCTAGAAAACCCCCATTGACTTGCTAGTAACCTTTGTTTGGCGGCTCCGCCCATAAACATGAGCTGTCGAGCATCTGGAACTGATCCTCTGGCCACCATGCTCCTCTTGGGCAGTGGTGAACTTATGGAGGAGTCCAGGATCTGATTTGAGGATGGGGTCACGGCAATAGCTGGTGGTGGCATAAGGGGTAAAGTGGAAGCTGGCCTCGATGCGGTTGGTGTGGGCGTCTTGATGATCTTCGGCAGTGTTTGTAGGCCATAGGTGGGGCTCTAAAAGGTACATTATAGAATTAAGGCTGAGAAAATGTCTATCATATACCCACTTGTTCCTCAAAATCGAGGGCATCGGTGTCCACCGAGCTTCTCTGCTGATGCTGCAGCAGGAGATTCTTTCTCTTCGAGGAGGGGGTCAATAGCAAGTTGGAACTGTAGGACCCATCGGATATATCGCGCTGCTCAGCCGTCAAGACAGTAACCTGCGATTCATTCCATATGCCATCGGAATGATCGCGTGTATTGTCATTGGCCAGCGAGTCTGAGGAGGGATAAGTTGATACATTGGCCAGCAGTTCATCGCGAGAAGGACTGGCCGGAGTTGACGGGAGTCGCAGCCCGGGGGTAGGAGTTTCGGAAGTCTTGGCCTCATAGTCATCGTCCAAACTGACGGAACGCTTGCGGAACTGGGACCGCTTATCTTGGATATTCTCGACATCTGGCTGGGGCTCCACTCGGCAGCCACAGGGGATAATGTTCTCGTAAAGTGGCTCCTCATCCTCCTGGTGATCCGTTTCCAGTTTCTGTTCATCCTCCTCTTCGTCTTCTTCTTCGGGTTCGGAGGCTTCGTCTTCGTCCTCCTCCTCATCGCTGGGCTCAAGTTCAACTTTTCTAACCTCAACTTCGACTGGCTGTGGCTTTGGTTTCGGCAGGGTCAAGGCTGCCGCCTGTGCCATCCTCTGCTGCTGCATCTTCCTCATGGCGATCTCCGCCTTGTGCTGCTTCCGGTGCTTCAGTTGCAACTTGGGACTCGGCTTTGGCGAGATGTGCGGCTTGAAATCTATAAATATTTCCTGCTCATCTCGATCTTGAGCTGCAGGCGGCTCATCTGGAAAGCAGCTGACCTTGTCGCGCCTTCGGAAAGAGCTCCTAGGTCCGAAGCCATCGATGAGCTTCTCCGTTTGGCCATAAACCGGCATGGATTGCCTTCTCAAATCATCGCGACGAAACGGAGAATCTATCATCTGGGGCAACATGGACATCCGTCGATGCTGGGCTGCCTGTTCTATGCAAACCTCCGAGCTATAGCTCTCCGTTTCATGTGGATGATCCTCCTCCTCGTCGTAGTACTCCTCCACATCCTCGTCGTCGTTCTTGCAGTACTCACTCGGTGGCGGCAATAAATGGGATTGGCTAAAGTCCAAGGGAACACTATCGGCAATGAGTTCCGAGCACTCCGTAACATGTTTGCACACATCCTGACGCCTGGGCAAGCTATTCGAATAGAAATCCGTATGCGAGGTACACGCTCGTCGAGGCAAACTGTTGCTCTCATAGTCGAAGCTTTCATTGAGGGCCACTGCAGCGGCATTCACATTCACGTACTCCACACTCTGCTCGGAGGGCGAAGGGCGGGTCCTGCTCAGATGCTCCATGCCAAGTCCATAGCTGTGGGCATCCAGCAAAGGTGGCGGCGGCTTGTAGTACATGATGTTGTTCTGGGCATCCGAAAGGGTCTGCAAAGGCGTCACATCCTGCGACTGGGTGCGGTAGATCATCTCATGGGGGAATATGGATCTGTGGGTGGGAAATAAAAATTAGTTTGTAATCGAGGAAAAGGGATTTCTTTTTTAAAAAGGAAATAAAACTAACCCCTGGGGATAATGATGCAATGGTACCTCCTTGCCATTGGGTATCTCAGAGAGGCTTTTAGTTAGCTTCTTGCCATTCTGCAGGCCATTCGTTTGAGCCCCCTGAGAAACCACCTTAATACGATGAGGTGGCCGGGGACTTAAAGCCAGCACCTGGGTATTGTATCCAATTTGACCCTGACGGCGGGCAGCTGCATCCGTTTGAGTGGCCTGCGTCTTCATGGCATTGCGGAACTTCTTTTCCACGATGAGAACTTCGGGACTGGGCAGTGGAAGAGCCAAGGGCAGCGGTTGCGGTATGATTAGGCCAACCATGTTATCTGTAAATTAGAGGAGTAACAAATAATTATTAATCATTAATTAAAAACCAACAAACTGGTAATAAGCCTGAATTTAAAAAAAGTTACAGGGTAGTAAATTAATAAGCATAGCTTTCAGTTTATGTTCCAGTAGAGCTTGATCTTTAGGCAATGCTGGGCCTAACCTGATAAGTGATTCACTCATTGTACATGTGCCTTTTGGCAATTGGGTGGCTAAGTCCTCACCTGGAATGGGCTGGTGCAGGTGAATCGGGGCATGGTGGTGCTGGCAGGGCTGAAGCTGAACTGGTGGAGGCAGCCAGCTCTTGGGCAGAGTGGAGCTTTGTTGCGGCTGCATCTGCTGAGGCTGCTGCTGGCCTTGGAGCGGTGGCTGCAGGGTCTCGTAGAGGGATCCTGTGGCAATAATAGGTTTCTTGCCCCCAATTAATCGTTCCTGGCTCCGGGCGGATTTCAAACGCCCCGAAGATCGAAATCCGGCATTAACGTTGTCGAAGCTGGTGAGTGTGTGGGACCTGGCGAAGCTTACGTGTTTTGTTCTGGATGAGGGACTTTGTGAAAGACGATTTCTGGATGGGATAATCCCGAGCACTTACCTGGCGCTTCCGCCCTGCTGCTGATGGTGGTGTTGGTGGTGTGTGGTTGGCATCGTGGCGTATGTGGGGCAGTGATACGAGCTGTGGAGTAAGCACATCAGCGGAATATTAAACAAGTTTCCTTTGAAACATTTCAGCGTTCTGAACACACAAGCATTTTCTTTAGTTTTATTCATTAATTTAATTATTTTAACTAGATTTTTTTTTGATTTTTTGCTTTGGTCACGTGCAGACACATAACATAAATAAACATTTTTGATTAGCGCACTTTTTTAGTAGAGTTTTTTTTTGCAGATTTTGCATTCATATCTTATTTAAGTAGTTTGTTAGATTTTAGATCACTTTACATACCAAACATTTAGATTAGCGATTTGATTGGTGTGTGATGTTGGTGGTGTAGGATTTGGTGGAGCGCAAAGCTCGACATAATAATTCCGTAGCAAAACATCCTGGTAAAAGGATTCAAGTGGTGCTGTACAACAAGTTGCCCTTTACACATTTTGATCATTTCATTTAGTATTTGGTGGGGTTTTGGTTGTGGCAATATCAATTGTTAAATTTTGGTTGATTTTTACAGTCGTTTTTGTTTTTATTTTTGGTTTTCAGGAGAGAAGGACAGGTGGATGAATAACGAAAGAGTACACGAAAAAGTATTTTTATACAGCATTTCTAGTAGGTGGTTTATCAGTGGTTTTCGAGTGGTTGAGAAGAACTTGGAGGCAAAAAGCGGCATTATGCAGTGGATGAGTCGGAAGGCTGTTGTTCTTGGGTGGAAAGTTCAGGCAAGCATTGCAAGCATCTTACTTACTATATATATACAAAACAATATATATATATATATAGATATAGATATCGGGAGAGTTGAGGGTATAGCGAGCGACAGAGAGTTAGTGACTACAGAAAGTGCGACAGTAAAGCATGATCTAAGCGACAGTTGGCATAGCATTTACGGTTTTTAATTTAGGTATTTTTGGTTCTGTTTATCTGTTTCTGTACTGAGATTCGATGGCCCTTCCAGGCGGTTCATACCTGTGGTCCGACTGGTAGTCGGAGTTGTTGTTGGTCACCTGCTGCTGACCTATCCAGGAGTAGCGGCCACCCAGGTCCGCTTCACTCGATTTACCAGTGCTCAGAATCGAAGCCGGCTGTCGGCGAAAATAGGAACTTTCCAATTCGTGTGTGTCTGTGTAGTTGTTCTGGTAGCTGCCAAAATCGGTTTAAGTCGAGCTTAAGGATATATATTTTGAAATCTATTTACCGTGGATACTTTTCAAACGGTGCGTAGGCGGCCAGATTCTCATCGGAGGGCACTCGCCGGCCCACGCAGCCACCCAAAAAACTGCCCGACTGCGTTTGACCACGACGTGAAAGGCAGCCGAAGAATCGTTCTCGCCTAGGACGCTGCTCTATGCTGTGCAGCTGGCGATCTGTGAGGCAGTACTTTAGGCAAGTATTTGTTTAGTATAATGTCTGGATTATGCTATATATATGTCACCTGTTCCCTAATATCTCCTCGTGAGTAAACTGAAGTGCGAGGCTGCAACTCGGTGGAGAGCGTGTGGCGAAGTCTGCGGCGACCAGTGTGTTCGTCTTCGGAGTCGTAGCTGCGATCCATGTGGCTGGAGTAGGTAGTCTGGTGGTTGGGAATATAAAATACATTGAAATTAAATAATTTTCCACAATTTAACGCCTAAACTAATGGGTCACCATGTCGTATACTTCATAAACCTTTGGTTAAGAACACAATACTAATATTTATATAACGTATACGACACGTTTTCCCTTTAACTTTCTCAATAATGATGATTACAGCTCGAGATTTTAATAAATTTTAGTCTCCCTTCTGACTTTGCTGATCTTGACTAATCCCTCAATTTCTTCCCTAGTTTCTGCCTAAGCTCTTCCAACATATCCTACTACTTGCACGCAGATTTCCCCCTCCTTCCCTTCGCATTGCTACTACAATAAGTGTGTCAATCACTCGCCATGACAGCATCTCCTTCTCCGAATTTTGCGCCTGACATAAATTAATTTTACTCGCCGCACACTTTGCGGTGTTTCATGTTTTCCGTTTTGGCGTTTTGGGTAGCTAGGTGCCTCATGAGTACGAACCTTGGTGGAGACCTCAATGTTGCCCAATGACACAGCATGATGCAGGCCTGTAAATGAAAAGGTCGATGTTTCATTTGCCAGCGGAATAAAAGATGTGATTATGTGCCTTTGAGCCAGGGATCCCAAGGACTCACCAGTTCCAGTCGCTGATGTGGATGATGCTGTGTTTGTGCCACGCAAGGCAATATCCATTTTCAAACGGCAACAAAAGAAATAAAATGAAAAAGAAAATAAAAGCGAAACAGGGGCAAGCACACACACACACACGCAAGGGAGAATTCAAGTTCTATATATATCCGGGTAAATCGTGTTGTCTTTTCTTCGTGTCAATTGTCTGGGCCAGGCTTTGAGATCCGTAACTTCACCTGCTCCATGATGACTTCAATATGGATGATTAAAAAACTTAATTACTACGAGTACGCCGTGTTGTTCGTTGTCATTTGAATCGCTTTTCCAGGCGCTTTTGACTGCGTTTGTATACTAATCTTCGTGGACTTATGCAAGGCAGTCAGCAATCGATATTCGCGCTGGCCAAAAAACGATGGAAAAGCCGTAGGAAAAACGCAAAGTCGACGTTTTCCTTCAAAAGTCCTTATGCGGAGGCTTTTCTCTGCTTTTAATTTGTGTGTTTTTCCGCGGAGTCTTGTTAATTGTTCTTAAAATTTGCTAAGTTGGCTGCTTTTCACAGGATTTTCATCTTTTTTTGGCTGGGGTGTGTGTGTGTGCTGCGTGGCTTGAGTAACCCGACAGTTTTCACGGATTTTCCGGCCTCCAAAATACGCTCCTCACTCGATGGCGCTGATGCTGGAACTGAAACTCAGCCAGCACTCGCATTTTCCGACGCACCGAGAGAGCTAGAGGCTTTCACTCGAGTTTTAAGAGAGTTTCCCTGGAAGCGAGGCAAACATTAAACAGATGTTCGGCATCTGGTGCGTTGGGGGTTGGTGGACGGGTGGGCTTTCTGGTTCTATGCTTTTCGGGGGATTCTGCGACTGCAAAAGCGCAACAATGAAACGCCTGGAAGTAGGCAGCAGAGCATGCGTTTGCGCATAACAGCTCGACAAAAAGGCAGCAGGACGTATGTCAACAAGGCAGACAGTCGGCCAGGACATGCCATCGTCACAGCCATCGCCATCGCCATCGCCATCGCCATCGCCATGTCCACATGCCTCATGCAGCTATTTCAGAAGCAGGAACGTAGGGAACAACAGAAACAGCAGCATCGTCACGTAGCTAGCGGCTAAATTTCACTTAGAACGCGTTCGAGGCGTCCACAGAAGTTGACTTCACACGGCTTCCATGTCTGGCTTTAAGGCAAAAACATGTCTAACAAAATGTACACGTCACGAAATCCAGCCCAGTCATTGCCTTAAACTTTTCATGGAGTTTCGCCAAACTTTATTATGGTTCTTTTATCTCAGATTCTATATTATCAACTTTAATTTTATTGTTAATAATTTACTTTATTATTATGAGACAATTCCATAAAATCACATAAAAACAAGCACCAAAAAAGTTTGAGTGGGTCAGCAATCAGAAATTCCTAAATTCCTAACTCTTTGATATAATAAACATATCTCTTATTGTTATTACTATAAACATTTTCGATCTGGTGTTCCGTTTTTCCGGTGCATCCCCATCTTATCATCCTTGGGAAAGCTTTAATCGAAGCAACGAAGCTTTCATGCCTTTGCGGAAGAATTTAATTGGTTTTTGTGTGTGAGTGAAGTGAGGGAAGCCTGTACTCCGGCATTAAGAGTAGTTAGGTTAATTTGCTTGAGATATCTGCCACAAAATGAAAGAACAAAGCCAAACAAAGCTGCCACTGCAGCATTTCAACTAAATTACTCTGAAATTTCCTATGGCAAACTTTGGGGGTGGGCATTAGGGGGCAGAGGTCATAACAAAATTACAACGGCTACGGCAAACCACGAATTTAGGTCTGTTTTATGGCATTAGGACACATATAAAACGTTTGAAGATTCATCTTACGGAAGGGGAAATGACCCAAATGAAACTAATTGTGTTTCTTTTAGGCGGCGATGATCTTAAAGTTGTCTTAGAAATCTGACTTACAGTTTTAGAGGTCTTTTGTAGTAACTTAATAGCTGAAAGGTCAGAAAACAGTTTTTGAATTAATTTTGCTTTGATATTTTAATGAGGAACTGGAGGGATATCAAAATATCAAGGCAGAAGTATCTCTTTTCGAAAGGATACACATTATTAGTATAATATTTTTCACTGATTGATGGATAAATAAGAGGCAGTGAGTAGCAATTCCCCATACCATTGTCTTCCCTGTTTAGGAGCTGAGTAAATCATAACTCATATGGGCTGACTTTGCTTAGTCAACAAGTTGACACGAGAGGTTAGCCCTTGCCCAATCTCTCCCGCCACATCTGTACGAGTATATCCCCATAAGCTAGGCCAATCTTTAATCAGTTATGTAACCCGAAATGCCCAGACCGAAAAGCCCCAGCCGTTTCCTCAATATAGACGACGATAGTTTCCGTTGCACGGTGTTTGCTCAGAGTCCACAATTCCGAAGGCAACACAATCATCCCCAAGCCGAAATGTAAGTGTGTGTATCTAGTCGTGCATATGTATGAGTTTCTGTACACAGAGGGAAAATACACCTACTTTTGATTTCTTCTAAAACACCAAAAGATTATTAACAGACGTGAAGCCCATCTTAGCTTATATTTAATAATTTTTTGTTAAAATCTCAAATTTAAAACTATTTTTTCCAGTGCACTACAGAAAGCTAGCAGCAAATTGTCTTATGGGCCCTGTGAAGTTTCTCGCCCTCACAGCGCTTACTACGCAAATATTTAGGCTTTCCTGCTGCGGCGACTTAAATGTGCTTTCGGCCTGAAATTGCGGCAAATATCAAGCATACGCACTGTGGCCCGACGCCCTGGCATAATGCATGAAAAATTGAGCATGTCATTGACGCTGGCCTGTTCGCTATATGCGATATGCTATATGGTATATGCTATATGTGCCGAGTGTCTGCCGATGCTCCCCGGACGACTGTTTACAGTCTAGGCACGTCCCGTAATGGGGACCCCGGGGTTATGTGCCCACAATATATGCAACATTAAGGGCCGGTCTTGACTTTGGCTAGGGTAAACTTTTTAATCGCCCCGGCTTTAGAGTGCTGCCTCTTTTATGGATGGATGGAAACGATGGGATAGGATGAGATTCCGCACAAATTGACGCTTTATGTTAATGCCATTAATTAATAAATGAAATATGATATTCACACTGGGCCGCTGTTGAACCTGTTTATTAAATTTTAGCACGTAATAAATGAAAACTTTATTGTGGCCCAACACAAATCCTTGCCATTTTGGGGTTAAAACGTTCAACTTACCCGACATTTGCGGTTCCTCAGGCTTTGAAAGTTAAGGCCCAAACCCAAATTGAATCGAATTGAATGACAGGGTTTCCGTTTATGCTTTCTTTATTAACATTTATCACACTAAACTACTAATGATAAAGAGTTACAAATGTGAGTTTCTGCGCTTAGGTTTTTCTCAGAAAAATTTCACGTATCTAAATTCCATCAGATAAAAATTGTTTTAGCTACAAGTTGTACCTTAAGTTGGTTAGTTCTCTTCGTTATTCCGGCAAAATTGCAAATAGTTAATGGTTTTATTTTTGGCACATAGATATGCTTGAGGGTGTAATATTATTTAATGCTAAGTGTTTCGATTTCGCTGAACACAAGTGGCGAAAAAGGAGTTCGAGTCGAAAGTTAGATCTAATTTATTTTTATGACCGAGAAAGAGCGGAGAGTTTCCCCAAGAATTTTATAGATTCATTTTAACATATGCAAAAGTTGCTTTTATTGCGTTTCATGGCAGTTGGCTTGACTTGAGTCCATTTGTCCGTGCATTATAAAGATTTTCAATCGAAGTGTATATACAAAGGAGGTGAGAGGCGGAAAATTCATTTTGCTTTGCTTCCTATAAGGTCTTTAATAATGTTTTTCCATTCGATTCGTCGTAAATTTCTATAAATTGGTTTTCCGTTTCGTTAGACATTTTGCATTTCGTGTTTCCTTAACATATTGTTTAAATTTGTTTGGCATTTTGCTGGATTTTATGTATTTCGATTGCCATGCTCATAGTTTATTTTAATATTCACTTTATAAAGGGTTTTTCCCAGTGATGGTTTTTCCGGTTTTATTATGTTGTCCTTCTTGTTTATTTGCCCTTTAAAGCCTTTCAAACGTTTTATTTATTCGGTTTATTTAACCGCCGCCCCTTTTTCTTTATGTTGCCATATCATGCCTTCATCGGATGGCCTTTTTAATGTTTTCGTTTTTTAATTGGTTGTAATGTGACTTGTTAGTTAGCTGATTATGCTCATGGCTCTGAATTAGTAAAGGTTTACAAATTGGTTTTGTAATTTATTTTTATTTTTCACTATTATTTATGGACCATGCTCTTATTTGGCCTCCAATCAAAGTCTGAATTTCACCCTTGGAAACAAGTGATGTAGGCAAACTGTGAACAGAAATAAAGTGTTTGTCGTGTCCGTAATTGAGTTCAGGCCAGTCCCAATTAAACAAGGATATCAGAATTGCATTAATATCGCTTCATATGCCTCATTTCCAATGGAAAATAAGGCGAAAGTTATTTCCATTTCCGTTGGCATTTTTTATGGCTTGATTCTGTTGTCCGCCGTTAAACGCCTCTTAATTATGCAATATATAATTGTTATTGAAAAATAAAGTACTTGGCCGACACGGAAAACTCGGCACTCACTTGGCACTCAGGACCAGGACAGCTCAGCCTTGTCCTCGGGGAAAAGAGTCGTTTAATTGGATCGACTTGATGTCCATGTGAACATCCTCTTGTATATATATATTATATATGTATATATGTCGGTAATCGGTTTTCGTTTTTCGTTTTTCGGTTTTCGGTGGTTAAATTGTATGCACGTTTATAAAATGGACCATTAAAGAAGTTTGTTTGTTTTCCGTTTTCCATTTTCCGGTTTCATCTGCTCTCCGCTCGATTGAATTATCTCATAAATATTTATGTAGTGGCCACAAGTTGAATACTTCTGCTTGAGACAAAGATAAAGCTTTCCGTCTGTCTGTAATCTCTATAATATATTAATATGCTAATGAGTAAAATTTTCATCCTAGCTTAGTGCAGGCGTATGTATGTGTGTAAAGTTAAGTGTGGATTTTCTCTGAAAAATTCATCGAGTTTCGGGTTGTGGGACTTCAGTTACACTTTCGACTTCATTCGGTTGGAGTTTTAAGTTTACATTCCTAATAGAGCTACGACAAAAGACTAGAAGAGATCTGACAAATTGTGCATGCGGTTCACGTAGTCGTGTGTGTGGGTGGGACCGTAATACCAAAATATAAGTTTTATAGGACCCAATTGTTGCGGCCTCTTCGATTTTTCCTTTTATTTTTATGTTTTCCATACACTGGGAAAACTTGCATTGAAATGTAGAAAATCGCATGAGACACGTTCTGAGACCTAACATTTTGTATGGTACATTTCTTAGGATTTTCCAACATTTCCCTTACAATTTTTCCCAGTGTCCTCGTCACTGGGCATTTTCTTATACGGACGTGGTGATTTGCTCCACGAACTGCACGGCAGTGGGTCTGCAAAGGGACTGGGATCGTTTGAGCCGGCATTGTGGATTGTTTCGCAATGCCGAATTCCCCGCCGAACCCGAGCCCGAGCCCTGGCTATGGCGATGGGGCGTTCGTTGCAGGGAGGCATAGGCGTGCGGCACGTAGATGAACTCCCTTGTGGGGGCAGGCACAGTGGCAGGACCCTGCCGACAGTTACACTGCTGCGACATCGTGGAAAGGCCCTCCGGAACACTGCGACTGCGGGTGGAGCTGGGTGGTCCGTGTGGAGCAGATGTTCCATAGGTGACTGGATTCCTGCTCGGACTGCTGCAGGTGCATATCAATGGCTGACGGTCCGCCGATCCTGGGTTCCTGAAAAACGGCAAGTCAATTTCCATGGTTTAGGCGGGGTGTCAACACAGTTTTCGCATGCGGTAAAATGAAACGAGGGAGCTGGCATCGTAAAGGCCAAAGTGGCAAATTGGCAAAATGGCAATGTTGCGGCTTGCATGAGCAAGGAAGGCGGCCGCCAAATTGATTGTCTTCCTAGGGCTTCTAGCATGATTGCCATTGATTGTTTGGTTCGGCGGGAAATCTCTTAATTGGTTTTCCATTCAATTGAGAGGCTGCTCTCCCGTCTGGCTACTTTTATTTTCAATCAAATGTTATACTACAATCGAGGATATTATTAATACTTTTCGCTCAGCTCAACTAAATTTATGATAATGTTTATGGAAACACATATATGGCCATTTCCTATAAATTAAAATACGAAACAACCTGATAATTATCTTAATTGCCTGCACAATCGTTTCCCTGATCATTGGAAATAATGGAAAAGCCAGAAGTGAATGCTATTTGGGGTTTCAAAAGTCCATTAAATGAAATAGTACCATGCGAAAGCGAATGCAATTTACCTTCAATTTAATATTTTGCCTGGTAAAGTGTAATCCCTTTGACTTTTACCCATTTACTCTACGTAAGCTGTCGATAGCTACTTAACTTGTAAAATTGTCAGACAATTTGCAACTGAACTTTGATTTGCCATTCAGCTGCACATGAAAGGAGCAGGTTCACTGCACACACAGGAGTGATTAGGAGGGAGTCGGGAGTCGGGAGTCCCTTTTCATATATTTTACTCACTTGTTGCTCTTGTGGCAGCCCAGCTCGTAGGTGCTGTGCCAGCTGCAGTACATCTGCCCGTCGCAGCAGTTGCTGTGCTGCTGGATGAAGGACAGACTCCGCTGCAGTCGCTTGCCCATCTTGGCCCCGATGCTCCCCTGGCCCAACTGGTAGGCTCCACGCACCTGCACAGGAAAAAGTATTAGCATTGATGTATACTCTTGGATATTCCATTGATTTGAATATTTATTGGTCATTGGTCAGAGTCCCTATTGCTTAAGATAGAAAATGTCTTGGGATTTAACTGACATGCTGTTTCTGATAAATATTTCTGTTTTATTTATGACTTAAGACTTTTCTCTCAGTGTGACATTACCTGGTGCTGCTGTAAGTCGAGATTCTGGCAGGCCAACTGCTGCAAGTGGGAGTGTTGCTGCTGCTGCTGGTGTTGCTGCTGCAACATGTGCCTCTGGCAGAAGTTCGTCTGCAGATAGGGCTCCATTTGATTGAGACTAATGCAGCTCCGACTGAGCAGATCGGGGGCGGGGTACTCCCCGTATCCGTAGTCCATCGGCAATTGGGGGCGGTGCTGTCGGGCGGAGGAGTGGCGCATCAACATGGGAGTCGGCACATGACCGTTCCTCTGCTGATAATGATGATGGTGCAACTGCTGCTGTTGCTGCTGCTGCTGGGGCTCACTGATGAAGAATATTATAATTCCCGAGATGGCTGCCGCCGCCGAGCATATGTAATAGCCAGCCCGACCGTATTTAAGGGAGTAATCGTTCAGAAACGAGGTGAGTGGAACGCTTATCAGCACAGGAACTGACTCAACCCCGCGGATGAAACCTGCAACGTTACATAACCCCCAAGTTAAAACCAGAATTTAAGTACCGAAGAACTCTGTACTCACCCCAAGCCTTGGAGAAATGTTTCAGCTTGATGCGTTCGAGTGCCAAAATCTTCAGGGAGTATTGGAAGCCACCCAGGCCGATCCCATAGAGCCAGCTCAGTATACAAAGGCCTGTGTAGCCCATGACAAAGGAGAGGAAGAGGATGGCCAGGGCCACAATTGACAGGAAAAGCTGGGGGTTAAGTGAGAATTAAGTGAAGTTCAGGGACTTATCATTAAGCTTATGACCCACCTGTGTGACAATCTTGGTGTTGATCACAAAGTGCCTGATCACAAAGCATCGCCTTAGCAAGGCCCCGGCTATAACCACACCCAGGGCCATGGAAATTCCCAGAAAGGTCTGCAGGAGAACCAACTCCTGCACATCAGAGCCCTGCTCAGCGGCATTGAGAGCCTGTTAGGAAGTGAATTATTAAAAATATAAATAACTTGAGTTTATTATAACCAAAACTTTAGTTACACCTCCCAAAATGCTTTTAACTTCTTTAGAATAGATAGCCTAATGGATATCTTTCCCAATTTAAGTGAGATAAATTAGGAAAAGCACTCACCATTAGGAACATGGGTGTATAGATGCCGAAGGAGGCCACGCTGGAGGTCATGAGTAAGATTTTAACAGTCACCGACTTCAGTGATGATATGTCCAGAAATAGGTATCTCGGTGTGCTCTCCACCTCCTGGCTGAGAATCGGCTTCTTCTCCCTCATCTGGAAGGGAGAAGCACAAATTAAAACCCAGACTTTCCACAACTTACACAGTTTGCCACCTTTTTGCGCTGATTTTTGAGATGCTGAATGGCACGGCGCTGGGGATGATATAGGGAGGCGGGGCGGTACATTAGGCCCATGAAAAAGCTGAGTGCCGTCAAGGCAGCGACAATCTGGAGGCCCAGGCGCCAGCCCGCCTTGCCTACGCCCTCCTTCAGGATGACGGAGAACAAAGCGATGCCAACTCCCTCGCCGGACATGGCCACCATTTCGACGAATTGACGGCGCCGCTTAAAGTAATTGCCCAGCATCACGGTGGAAGCCTCCCGCACCATGGCGACCCCGACTCCAAAGACGATGCCTGTGGAAGTGTTTCGAATCGTGTTTTCAGTACACCGCGAGAAATTAGTAGGGACTTAAGACTTAGAACTAAGAGGAAAGGTTTTTAGGTAGACAAAACTTTTTCAAAGAGTTCTTTGAAGATTTCCAAGGTGATACTTGAGGCTTTTGAAAGGTTATTAAGAGTTTTCAAACCAATTAATATTACTTAAGAGTTCTATCAGAGATTAGGAAAGCTAAGTTTCTCGCAGTGCTTTGGGTGCAAATGATAAGCAACTTCCGGAGCCGGCTGACTGGCATCTGGCAGGTTATTTATTTATATATACACCATACACCCCGGCTATACGTACCATAACTGAAAACAACCTGGCCAAATTCCGTGGCAAATGAGGTGAACAGTATGCCCAGGGGCATCACCAGGCCACCCACGATGGACAGGAGGCGGATGGAGCGCTTGCGACAGAGGGACACCACAAACGATGTGGCCACCATGGAAACTGACCAGCTCAGGGCGCCCAGCAGTTCTGTAAGGAGAAATTAAGCTCTTGAGTGATAATGTTCTAAAGCGGGAAAGTCAACTTGACGAAGGTCATGGGCCTACGTGGAGATGAGTGTTTCGGAGTGTTAATATTTCAAAAAGTACACAGGCAGGGGGTCTTTAACAAATTGAAAGCGAGACATGGCGGGGCTTAAAGGGTAAGTTTAACTCTGACTAAATAAGCATAAATCAGGTTAAATGGCATTCCAATGTATATACTTCCACGGCTTTAAGTAAATCATTATTCAATTAAGTTTTAAGCAATTTGTTGTCTTAAGTTGCATAATTTATGGCCCCGATAAAACAGGTGGAAATCGACAGGATAACTTTTTATTGTTAAAAGATTAACTGAAGATAAAAGTGGAGTAAAATTATTATTACCTAAAGTAAAAGCAGTTGTTTATCATTCACTTATATCAAGAAACAAAATTGATATCAAACACAAAGCCAATTAATTGGAAAATAAAACATTGTTGCAATCTGAAAATGAAATGCCACCTGCTGACACAATATTAACACTCTATTCTTGGGATTTGTGGCCGTGGCTATAAACTGGCCAACACTTTCGGTCATACACAATAGTCACACTATTCTTAAATTATGTCCGCACTGTCAAGTGCAAATGAAATTTATGCAAAGGCCCACACCTGCAAACATCTATTATTCACAAACATCCACAAACATTTGCATTTGCAGCACAAACAGGGTGACAAACATTTTGATTACTCGACGGGGGGCCCACAAAATAGAAAACCAAAATGGAAAACACCACAAATGTGCAGGAAAACAAGAAAATGACCGAGAGATAACAACGGGCTGCGATGGCTCTGATTACACATTGCTATTAAGGACCTGGCCGAGGCATCTGAGCATCCTTTTCCATGACTTACCTATGCCACTGGTATTATGCAAATACTGGACGGCATAGAACCACAAAAGGCCGTAGCTGAGCTGCAGTCCGGTGGTCAGAATGTGGACCAGAAAGGACACGCCACAAATGATCCAGCCCCAGCCACCGTCGGGGTAAAAGTACTGAAAGTGCAGAGAGGTAAACTTTTGTTGATATCTTCTTTATAAGTGTATCTTTTTTAGTAGTTAATAAGAGCTTAATATATGTGGTTAAATGCCTTATCAACCTACTAAATCTTATTAAAATTATTAAACAGATTTATTTTTTTCAGTGCATGAAATTTATCCGAACAAAGGCTGACAATTACTGTTTGACAGGCCTCTCTGAGCATACTTTCTGCCCTGTTCCCCACCTGTCTAATGCGTGTGGTATCCACTCCGGTCCGTCGCAGAGCCGGGATATTCCGGTGCAGCAGGTGGAACTCTCGATCGGCCAGTCCTGGAAATGCCGAATCCTCCTCGTCAGTTATATGGCTAGGGTGTGGGGGCGTGGCATGCAGGCTGGGATGGTGGTTCCCCTCGTAGCCTGGGCATTCAGAAATATTGGAGAGATGATTAAATTATGGAGAAAACTGCCTGGTTTTCCACGGTATGTGGAAGTGATAGTGAGTTACTCTGAGGGGAGTTTTCTTTGTGAAAGTTAAAAATTTGATATCATTTTGATATTATACTTAAACATCAAAAGGAAAATCAAGAGTTCTTTAACATTCTCTAGTCACGGAAAACCGAATAAATTTTCCAGCAAAGTAAGTGTTTTTTTCAATTAGGCCACAATTTATGGCTTCCTCCTTTAATTTTGCATGAGTGTACTTACCAAAATAGCAGCCTCCATTGGCCATCAGATTCTTGGCCCTTTGTTGGTGGTGCTGTTGCTGCTGCTGCGGCGGCGGTGGCTGATGGTACCAATTATCGCAGAGGCAATACTGCGGGGCGTACTGGTGGGGGTGGTGTTGATGCTGGTGCTGGGGCATCTGGTGGTGCTGTGGGTGGTGCTGGCCGTGCTGGTGCTGGAGGTGGCTCTGATGGGCCGGGGGCCATTGGGTTGTACATATAACAGCAACCATTGAAATTGGGATTCGCATAACGGGGCGGCGGTGGGGCGGGCATTACACCACCCATCCCGGGACCAACTGCACCACCCACTACACCACTACCCCCGCCGTGTCGACTGCAGTGGGGCATCATGGGCATCTGCTGCTCAATGGTGGGCAATGTGGCGTAGCTGCCAAAATTGTCACAATGCCGTTTGCTCGGGAATCTGGGCAGAGTGGGTGGTGTGCTGATGGTTTGTGGGCCGGTGGTTTGGGTGGCGACACCTCCTCCACCATGGCAGTGACGGGTGGGCGTGGTCGTGGACTGCATTTTCGTTTGCTCAGCTGGTAAATAGGAGAGCCGTGGACATGAGACCCACCAGGCCAGCGGCTGATTATTGAAACGACACTCGTGGCACAAATAACGTTGGTTCGTCGATTCCTTCTCTGGTTTTTGTTGGTTGGTGTTCCCGATCCCGATCCCGTTACCGATACCGATACCGTTTCCTGGTTTCACGGTGGCTTCCTTGGGGTGCTCACAGCTCAGATTGTATCTTCGTCACAGAGCACATTTGTTGCACAGCACGGGACTGCGTTGTTTGGGCCTCACCAGACTCGAGTACTGCCGGGGATTCTCGTTGGGGTTCTCCGAGGGATTTTCCAGGGGATTCTTGGGGATTCTCAGCCAGGAATGATGGTTAGTGGTGCTACTGCTACTGGGTAATAGCTGGGGACAGCTGCCGTAGAGCGCCGATGAGGTATTAGAGAGGCGGCGGTAGTACGGTATCCTCTGCTCCATATCATCGCCACCGAACGAGGAGCCCAACTTGTACGGCTGACTGCGGCCCGGGAGCAGGCAGGATATGATGCTCCGGTTATCTCTACTATCACTGCAGTTGCAATCACATGTGCACTGGATGACCATTGTACTCCTCCGACTCCCCCAAGAATAGCTCTTAACCCTGTGCTCTCAACTCGGTCTGCCGAAGCGTTGTCTACTTCAATAATGCCCACTCCGGCAGTACATTATTTTCGAGTCTGGGGTCTCGGTCTCTGTTTCGGTTTCGGTTTTGGTTTTGCTCTGGGTTTGGGGTTTCAGTTTCGGTTTCGAGCTCTCCAGGATTTCTAGGCGGCTCCCGCCACCAGTGTCCGACTGCATCCATTTGGGGCCATCTCGAACATTTGCAAGCCAAGCGCAAAATTGTGTTGCCCCACTGAAAAAAAAGGGGTATAAACATTATATTTATTTTATTATTTATATATTTTTATATTTTTTGAACACAACTCTTTGAAAATTTTGATAATTTTTAGCTGTAAAATATTATTAATTAATAATATTAATATATGTCAAGTAATTTTCTTTCTTAAGTTCTTCACATTTATTTTCTGATCTTTAAACATATTCTAAAAACCCTTTCCTTTTGCACAATCAACTTAAACTAATTTGCAAAACCCATCAAAAGTTTTCGAAATTGTTTTCAGTTTTTCTAAAAACCGGAACGAGCACACAGCGATGCAGAGATAGAGCGTGGGATCGGAAAAAAGCGAACCAACGGGAGTCGATAAATAAATCAAATCAAAATCAATTTGTTTACTCTACACCAGCACACAAAACAAGGAGCATATGCAGTGCATAATTCAATTTGTTGTTCAATTGCGTGTATTTCAATTGCCTGCCAGCCATGCTAGTCGAGTGGGCGGCGTTCGGAATGGGGGCGTGGCCCACAGAACTTTGATGGGCGAAAAGTTTTGCGGTCACTGTGGCAGAAGAATTAGGGCAAATTGCGACTGGCACTTCGTATAACACATTTATGGCCCATCATATTTTATTAGCATTTTCTAAATTATTTAATATCCTCAATGGAAATGAACTGCAAATGGTTCGAAGAATATGTCCCTTTAGCGAGTGGAATCCACGGGCTAAAGTGTTCGTATTTGGCCTGGAAAATATGTTCTAAATTTCAATGTTTGTTTACCAAACTGTGGAAATGTTTGTGTGCACAACAGATTGGGCTGTAAAATATTTAAAATACTCAAAAATGCCACATTCTGTGGCACGTGGCTATAGTGATGCTTACTCTTTGAGAGGGCATAACAGCGATATTAGTATTTGGTCAGCCCTGCTTATCGAGGACCCTTATCAATGTCAGGCCAAGAGGAACTTTAATGGCGAAATATGTGGTAAATTTATTATTCGAATTTAATATTTATTTGCCAATAACAAGCTTAAGTGGTGTTAGAAATGATATTACAGGATGATGTGAATGCTATTTGCAGATTTCAATTTTCTCGCTTGAAAGTTTTTGACAAGATAGTTTCCCGGGTAAAGGTTTTTAACCAGATTAAAACTGAAAAGTTACTCTTCCCGAGCTATGGAAAGGAGATTGAAAGAACCTTCATCAAATATGTCAAAAATGAATGTTAGAATAACTCACTTGCAGGAAAATGCTTAAAGTGCTTGTAAATAGCTGACTAAGAATGGAATTTTGTAGGAAAGAAAATGTTACTAAGGCTGGAAGCTCATGAACTTCACATCACCTAAGCCAACACAAATCAAATTTTTTGCACAAAATGACTGTGAATTTTCTGTTGCCCGTGGAAACTTGAAGAAGCTGCAATGAAGCACCAGGTCCGCACGTCTCTCGCCCCCCGTAGAACTTGATTGATTTATGTCCTTATCGTTTGACTATTTCTCCATTAAGGAGCGATGGTATCATTTAGATTAGTCCAATGTCCCATTGAGGGGCTATAAAAATGATAAATGATCTGAAAGAAAACAAGCAACCGAGGGGGCAAGGAGCATTCGAAAACAAAAGCACCGAAAGGGAAACTTGCATCATTTTGCATCGGGAAAGTTTGTGCAGAAGCATATGGCCCAGTTATCCAGTTTTATGGCTGCACACACAGCGATTTGGCCAACGAGCATTCCACGTTTTGCCTCACAATTTTCACAATGCACAGAGGCGCATTTAAATTGATTGTGGGAAAAGCGGAAGCATTCCCGGAAAGAGGAAGTCGAGGAAAAGGAGCAACATCAATCAAAAGCCCGCTGTAAAGGAGCTCAGCAGGTGAGCGGTGGGTGGTAGCTAGCGGGTGGCGTATGTTGGAACTTTCCTTGGAATGATGCTACGACTATTACCTGTGGAAACATAAAATTTAACAACATTGTTGCAAAGAGCAAACAGGCTATACATAACGATATCCCATGTTATCCGCCGTAACGCTTCTTGGCTACACAGAAAGAAAAAGCGAGAAGGCAGTAACATTTTTCTGGTATTTCTCAAAATATTTAAAATTTAAAAAGCAAAGGCTACAGGATACAGAAATAGTATCAGTTTACCCCCAGTTATAAACAAATAAACATTCTTCTTTATATTAAAAAACAACAAGACAGTCTTTCTCTCTGCGAAAACACTAGAGCAGAAATATTTTCGCACTTTTCTTCTCTTTGCGGGTTGTCGGACTTTTCACAGCTTTTTGGGCTTTCCTTTGTTGCTGCAATGGTGCGTTGCAATAAAATCCTTAAATATCCTTGTGGCTCACGGACACAAATATGACTCGGTCGTGTCAGCAGTTTTATGTTCTTTAAAATGCAATATTAAAACGCTCGAGTGCCGGCGATGATGGCAGCGATTTCAATATGGACCCACTCGCCGCCCATCCCTTTGCTTTTGGCAGGCGAAGTGTTGACTTAACTGGTCATTGACTTTACCAACTTTATGCTGCAGTCAAAATTATGCAGTCCGTTTCGGGAACAGTATGACAGCTGACTCTTAATAAGGTCATAGTAGTTTAACTGGGCTTATTATTGGTGGATTAAAACGTAATTGGTTTTGCCTCTAAAGGATAAGCATTATGACTGTTCTTTACAGGTGAGTGAGTTTAAGTTTCAGTGAGTTTCATATTTTGAAAATGAATTTAATATCTACCCAAAATGAATTACGGTAGCCCTAATTAAAACGAGAAATGATTTTATTAGATCCAATTAACACAAACAAGCAGAGCTTCTGCGATATCGAATTTAATTTGTAAATTATTTCGGACATTAAATAATCATAACTATAGCTATGAAATTCGATTTGTTTATGGAATACCGTAGGGGAGCTGCTATAAATTTGTATTAAATAATTTAATAATAACTTAAACTAAAAGTTCTACTGAAACGTAAATATGAAACGTAATTGGAAGCCACACTGGCTGGCCTTACACTTCTTACACGCACTGTAACCACCCACATGAGACCAAAAACTGAGGCTGTGTGTGTCTGTGCGGTTGTGTCAAAAAAAGGCCAACTTTTATTTGCAGGGGGCGTGGCGCAGTGGGCGGCTAGGTGAGATTTAACTGGATGCCGGGTCATTCCGGGGTCGGTTTACTTTGCTGATTAAACATATGCGCCAGCATCAGCGAGCCGCAACAAAAAGGCAGAAATGGCGAAAAAGGGCCAAGGAGGCCAACAGGAGAGAAGCGATGGCTCAGCCGCATAAAATTTATTTAAACTTTTCCGCTAGCGTTTTTCAGCGCGGTTCGAGTTTGTCGCCCCCAACTGGCAGATAATGGGTATCATATTGCCTCGGGGTTTCGCATTTTAGTTTGTTTCTTTTTTCCCCTCTCTCTCTCTCCTTTCCCTCTGCACTTTGCATTGTAATAAACACACGACAATATGCGAACAGCGGCAGCCACATTCAGTGGCAACAACATAAACAGCTTCAGCACCCTTAAATAAAAATAAAAGTAAATAAAATGCGCCAGCCGAGCGGCGAAGATAATAAAACCAAGGCAGCTTTGTGGTGGCCATGTTCCAATTACAGTTTTCTTCTTGTGGCCAAAACAGCAGGAGCTCCCCCGAGAGCTTTGCGGTTCTTAAAGTTGTTTGCTGTTTCAAATGAAGTGCTTTTCAAACTGGGATTAAGAGAAATTTACAGGAGAAACTATTTAATTTTACTTTCAAATCAAGCAAAGCCATGACTGGAAAATGTAGTCAATGGTGAAAAATATTTTATATCCTTTTCAAATTAAACTTTATGAGACGATAAACTTCTAGGCATAGTTGACCACTCCTCTTGTCAGAGTGAACAATTCAAACTTTGGCAGGCAACGAAGCAGATCAAGATGTTTACCAGAGACATGTCCCATTTCGAAATACGAACAAGTTTCAGCCGAACAACTTCTCAAACTGTATCGAAATTGTTTGCCAGAACACGCCGACCCGACGGTCTTTCTATTCCTTTTGCCATATGCATTTACAACTTTTATTTGGCTGCCTGGCCCGAAAAGGGTACGAATTTTGATGTCTTTTTGTTGGGTCCTTTCGGGATATACAGGATATAAGTAAGTGGCTCCTTTGTGTGGCTGCGGGCATGCGAAGTGCGAGGAGATCTCGGCATTCCCCAGGGCAAAATCATTTGCAATGCAGCCAGCGGCAAAGGGATATATTAATACTTTTTCATTTAGTTTGCAGACTTCGCAACAAAAAGAAAACCGGAGGAACTTTTCAACTTGACCATTTCTTGCTCTGTCTGGAAGTTTTCGCATATTTTACAAGCAGAGCTCTGCAGTGTCGGCTAATGGATTTATGTTTTTAGCCAAATTACGAATTGAACCGTACACGGCATTAAAACTTGTCCCCAATAAGCCAATCCAGGAGTCTGGCCCGTAAATAATCGGCTTAGGAGAGGTTCATCCTTATCGCTGGAAATGCCCAACGAGCTGTAAACCCAACTCAAAAATCCTATCACGGGCCTAATTAGGTTTCCCGTTAGCGTCAGCGTCAGCGTCAGCCAGACATTAAAATTAATACTATTCCCGATATACATTTTTAATGCTAACCGTGCTGAGACCTCAGAAATTAACCACACCAAAAATCGGGAGCCATCCGGAAATTGTGGTGAAGCGGCGGCTGCGTGATTTTTTGTGCCTGCTTCTTTCTGTGGCAGGCGTGAGCCGCATCATCAAGGAAAAAGTTAAGCCCTTCTTAGCTGAAAAACGACACTTCCTTCCCCTCTCGCGTGCCAAGGAAAAGGGATGAACTCCGGCCGGAAGTCAAGCATCGTCTCATCTCGTTTCGGCCAGGCCTAAAAACAATGAAAATTACAAGGCATTCCGGCGGGCGGAGAGAAATTCGCAACAAATTTCCTGTGTCGAGCGCCTTGCTTTATCAACATCAGCGCTTAGGTTAAGAATGCACTGGGAGAAAAGGTTTCCCCTGAGAATATTG